ATTCTTATTTTAATTTATAAGTATTTGTTATTCTATGTATATATATATATATATATATATTTGAAAAATTAAACATAACTACTTGAAACCTGGTTACTACTAACATTCAAGTTTTTGGTTTGTGTAAATGTGTGTAGAAATAAAGAAAAAAATATATATATATAGTAAATTTTATAAAACATAACATTCAACAGATATACAACTAATCTAAACTAATACAAATGAGTAAAGTAAACACTAAGACACAGAAAAGTTAGAATAATAGAAAAAATTTACTTTTTAGGCATCTGCTTTTGTCTGTCCTTCAAAAACATAAATTGAAAAAGAAACAGGAATAAAATAGACTGATAACTCCTTATCTAGGAAGGAGAGTAGTATGGTAGAAAATCTGAATAAAAATTGATACATTGTAAACAAGTTCAAATGGAGAATGTTCAGCAATGGCCTATTGTTTTTATGGTTTAAAAATTCCACTGAATTTGAATGAATTATCACCACTAACTAGTTCAGTCAGAAAAGCAATCTCATTATTGCCTAAATTAATTATTAAGTATGGCAGTACTCAATAGTCGGGATCAACAAGGTTTCCAAATAATTCACGTGCCAAAAAAAAAACACCCTATTGAATTCCTAAGAGAAAAACTGACAATTCCAAGTATTGGTTATGATATATTATGCATATATATACTAATAATATGCTAAAAAGGTTACTAACAATTCCAGTTTAACAATTAAAAATTTTCTTTTTTGTCTACTACCTACCTACCTGACTACCTCAGCGGGGCTAGCCCCTAGATGGCTTGGACTATTGCTACAAGATTTCTCCAGCTTGCTTTATTGGTCTGTTGGTATTCGCTTTTGATATTTCAATAAATATATACAGATTTTTATAAATAGTAAACATATCATGCACGTACATGAATACCTTTTCAACCCAACAAATGGTGCTACATATCAATGGATAGACAACCTACAGTTTCTAAAGGTAAAGTATGTACTTTATACAGGTATAACATAAAAAACAAGCAAACAAGAGTATTAAAGAACTATGAATTTTAAAATGAATTAGAAGTCTTGCTACAAAAAGTAATGAAACAAGAATTAAAACCACAATCACAAATTTATAAAACTTAATCCCTACTTTATAAACTTATCTTCAGACCAAAGTAAGGATTACATTTTAATAAATCTGTGATTGTGGTTTTAATTCTTATAAAAGTTATAGCTATCGGGAATATGGCTATACTGAAAGTATATAGATGTTGTGTCCATTCCAGAGGCGTATAAAAACAGTCTAAATTTAGACTGCTTCATTTAGCTGTACAGATCACAATGCTAACCAAAGTAGAGATTGAAAATCGTTTTTAAAATCTATCCAACTAGTATCACTTTACTTGTTTGTGTACTTTTTATTGCAGCATTTATTTTGTTTCGGATACTACTTATAGCAATTCTACGATTAGCCAATGACCCCTATTTTCACTTGAAAGATACTACTTATAGCAATTCTACGATTAGCCAATGACCCCTATTTTCACTTGAAATTTTTTTTTTTTACTATTCATTAGAAATTAGTGAGAATATTATTTACAGGCATGAAAGCACATTATATATGACATCTGTTATGACAAAGCTCAGCTACTGGAGTCATATCACACTTACTTTCTTGAGTATATTTTCATTTCTAATCAGGCTTAGATATTATACATAAATTCAAAACAAGAAATAATATTATTTATATATCTGCTCACCCTCCAACTAAAGCTACACACTTACTTTCTTGAGTATATTTTCATTTCTAATCAGGCTTAGATATTATACATAAATTCAAAACAAGAAATAATATTATTTATATATCTGCTCACCCTCCAACTAAAGCTATTTTAATATTTTTCCTAAAAGTAGGATTTAACAACCAGCCTGGGAGGCCTCCTGGAGTTGGGGCTTCATTCCAGATATGAAGTTCACAGAGACTTTCCACGGCTTCAAATTTTTGCCTGGAAATAATAAATATCAATAAAAAAAACTTCAAGTAACACCATAATATGTTTTTAAAAATGGGAACAAGTAACAAGAGTTTGAGTGATCTCAATGTGGTGAATGTTATCACAATTAATGTACAATATCTACAATGAAGCATCAAGAGGACAATTACAAGTGTGGGCTGCATCACCCAGTAGTGCTGGAAATCTACAAAAAATAGATGGTACCCTGATTGATGACAAATACAAACATATTCCTATCCATCATGTCATTTCCTTGGGAACAAGACTTGTAAGACAGGAATTCATCTTCCAGCAAGAGAGTGAACTAATGTAATAAAACAATATGTGGAAGAAAAAAAAGGTTGATGGAACACACAGCCATGGCTTATTTTGCACAAAATCCCAGTAACAATAGTGTCATGATATAAAAGATGGTTTGGTTTAAATATTAGTGATTAATTTATATTTGTGAATGAATATTTTATTATTTTTAAGTTTTGTAATAATAAGAGTTAAAAGCAGATGATTGTAGAAGGTTTTGATAATAACTAATTGGTGTCGAGAATATAAAAAGTGTAATAAAAATATAAATAGCATGAGATGAAAGGGAGCAGTAGATAGACAACAATAGACTGACAATAGCAAAAGAGAATATAGTTGTGTAAAGTTAAGTACCGCAAAGGTGATAGGCCTAACATTTGATATATATATATATATTAGAGTGAAACTAACAGTGTAAAAAGTAATAATAAAAAAATATGTTTATTCCGTCAAAGCAAAATTCTAAAGTAATTGAATCAGCCTGAGTGCAGTTTGACAAAAGGAACATAGGATCTTTGGAAGAAAGAAGACCACAATTGTAAGTGAATCAGACCAGGCTAATATTGCAATAATATTATAGAAAATAGTTCAGCTTGTCAACTGAGATTTTAAAGTAATTGAACAGACCCTAGTGGACTTTTGACAAGAAGAGGAGAACTATACATATACTGATATAACGTCTATGATATGCTTATATTCTCTGTAGTGTGAACACTTTATTGTACATACGTTTAACTAGTTCCAACTATATATATATATATATGAAAATAAGTAAAGTGTGTGTGTGTGCTGTTTATTCACCATTGAATTTATCGCTAACAAGTCACAGACACCTACTGCAGAAGAATCCTAAGCCTAACAAGTACAAAGAATATATTTATATTATTAAGAAATACAAGTAAAAGCCATTTATTTCGACAATTGGCAAAAAGAAGAACTTGTATATATATATATATATATATATATTTTTAAAATCTGACCAATACTATTAAGGTTATATGGGCTTATAACAAAACATAGATGGCAAATAACTACTAAACCATGTGGCTGAATTATGGGAAGTAATACAGGACACTTAAAACAATATTTCACAATCAACACTGATACATAGTAACATAAAAATAGGGTTTGTTTAAATCAAATTCAAAATACCAATGTATTTATACAGCTTGCATATTTTTTGTGCAATAAAATATTGTACTAATTATAAATTGAACATCTGGTTGCAATTACTCAATGTTTGTTCTCATTTATGTGTATTACTTGTGCATTTTCATAATTATTTCCAATACTGTAAATATTCCTTAAACTAATACAAAGGCCTCAAAATGATCTATCCAAAAATAATGAAACAAACTAACTGGAACATTGGAGCTTTTTGTTGGAGGAGGGAGGGAGATAACATTAGAAAAGCCGACATAATATGATAGTGAAAATGCACCAGAAATTGACAAGTAAAATACTCATCTAGAAGCATAACACAAAACACGAGGCACCAACGAAAATCTACCTTAACTTAGTGTATTAGACAAAAGTAAATGACATCTTTAGACAGAATGTAAGTAGGTGTGTATGAAAAAACCATAAAAGTGGTAGGAAGTAAAATACATTGAAAAAAAAAGTAGTTTCCATGATTCAGATGATTATAACAGGAAGTAATGGATGTATGTTGATGGAAGAAGGGCATAAATATAAAAAAAACTTTGTCTTTCAAACTTTGATTATGATATAATCGTGTAGGTTTGAATGTTAAATTGTGCATTACCAGTGATAGCTAGTGGGTTAACTCTTTTGCTAAGTCATCAGAGTACTCATCTACTTTGTGCAAAATCCTTGTGGGTGATATAGAAATGGATTTACAAACACAGTTATTGTCATGTTAAAGTAAGAAATAATATTGAGCTCAAGTTATGAATATTTTTATAAATACACTCTAAATGCACATACTACCATTATTATTTTATTAAACATAAAGCTTTACATATAAGATAAAATTTAAAAAGGTACTTTAAAGTGTTAATTGTTGAAATTTACAAACACCACCAAAATAACACAATGTAGAAATTCTTTTGCAGAAACTTACTTTATAACATTCTGAGACACCCAAGAGCTTATAACAGCTTGAGGGATAGGTTGTTCTACAAACAGCAAACGCATGATATAATGACGTGACAACAAAGGCAGTTCACTGATAAAGAAAACAATCATATAAAAAAGAAATATTACACATATATTTAGAATTACCTATCCAACTTTATTTTAAACTTAAAACAGCTTAAAAAAATCAATGTGACCTGAAGACTAAGTGGAGATCATGAAACAATATCAAATAAAACCAAAAGTAACGGTAGACATCCATTAAAAACATTATTAGCACACTGAATTTACAGCCTAAATATATTACAATACTTTTTATATAGTATTACTTCTATATTTATAAAATGCCCAACACAGATTAACAATAAATAATTTTGAAAAGTAAATGTTAAAGAGAACTGTCATATGTTTCATAAAGATAAAAATATCCCCCCCCCCAAAAAAAACAAAACAACAACAACAGAGATACAGAAATTAGGCCTGCCTTAGATGCATTTTTCCTCTTGCAAAAGCCTAACCAGTAATGGACACACATTATCAAACATATTATTATTACATTTAACCTATTCATAATAAAAATACACATCTGCTCTTATCATTATTATTCTACCCCTTTACGCTAGTGTAAAGCAAATGTTCTAGCTATGTACATAATTATGCGACCACATCAAGCAAACAGTAATACAGGAACAGACATTTATGTCTTTCCATGGAAAAAATATTGTCAATCAAAGCATTTCTTTCATTTTCCCATTATAAGTTATGGTAAATATATTATTTGCATTAAAATATTATTTGCTTTTCAACCATCAAACAAGAAATATATTTGTCTAACTCTTTCAAATAGTATCTTCACATTCTGATAACAATATTGTGTCATAGCAACTTAGATGTCAGAATCCTGTAAAATTACAGTGTCTGAAAAGTTACAGATTTTCATTGGTCACAAGATATTGTTAGGGAGTAATGAGTAAAATTTTGCTTTTTTATGGTTATACTGATGTTACTTCATTCAATAAACATTAAATCTAGAAGAGAAATTGAAGCTAACAACAAGTATTTGTGTGTTACTTAAGTAATGGATACTCAACCCATTCTTTAATGCTACTTTCATAAACAGTATTGGTTAGAATGTTTAATATATCTAGTTTTATTAACTTTCATTTTTTAAAATATTATACTTATATTATACAGATTATTTTGCATTGTTAACTCAGTATATGGATTAATCTAAATCTCATAGGCTGGTTAAACATCATGAGATATTATTTAGTTTATAGTTGAAATTATTGTTACCAGTGATGGTACCTTACCTGTTTCTAGTTTTTAATGTAACAGTGGTATATTTACTCAGTTATACTCATTACCATATTGATTTTTATTTTTGATCTAAGTAGTGAGTGAGCTTCCTCTAATTGCAAGCTAATATTAATTTTTGTGTTCACAGTTTGGCAGCATAACAAATGTACAATGATAAAGGACATGTCTTCTCAAAAAGTAATGGATATTAGGAAAGAGGATACTGGATACCAAGTCATTAGTCTCTCAGATAAGTGAATGTCCATATGACAAAATTAACAACTCTGAGGTAAGGGAATATGGATTAATGCTAAAAGTATCAATAACAGTAAGGGTACCTAACTGATAAATGTTAACATTTCCCTACACTGAAAATTTATTTCTGATAGATACTTACCTCTCTCACAAATAGCTTTTCTCAATTTACTGTGCCCTATATATGCAAATTTTCACATGCCACTAGTCCTGATACTCCCACCTACCATCAAGTGTATTCACTTGAGACACCTGCAAGCTCTCATGCAAATGATCAATGCAGCAACCCTCCACAAATAAGAATGCAACACAACTCCTATAATCACTAGCGCCCTCTCTTCCATGCAGTCTGTAATCACTTCAAGATTAGGAAGTACATACAAAACCTACACCAGAAGTGGGGAGGTAAGGTGGGAAATTTCAGTGGAGGTAAGTATCTATTGGAAATTCATTTTCAGTGTAGGAAAATGGTAACTTCCAATACAATATCTTACCTCTTCTCACAAATAGCTACAATCCCACACTGAGTTAGAGGAGGGTCCAGTGAGAAGATGATCCCCCTTTAGAAAGTGCACAAAGGAAGATCATGGGGTAAGGGAATAAATGGAAGGCAACACCCCCAAGGGAGACTGCACCACTTCTGAGCCAGATATACTCCTCCCCCAATGTGAAATTATGTTGCAATAAAGGTGAAAACAATGGAGGGACCTCCCCAAATTTACTCATGTGTGCACATCCAATTCAGCCATCACAATATCTGCAGGGAACTGACAGCTAGGAGATGGTAGGAAGGTGGATAGCAAAGTGGGGATGCATCTACAGTCCACAGTAGGAGGAGGGTACCCAGCCACACACATGTGACAACTTACATGAGTGATCCAGCTCCAACCATCACCACATCCACTGGGAACTGACACCTAAGGAACAGTAGGAAGGATAATGCCTTGCTAGAGGGACAAACTGCATGTTAGTGGAATACATCATCCAAAACCTGACAGCATCTGGAATTGCATATCAGGTCTGCAGTAGGAAAAGCATCAATGACTTTTACACTGGCAGAATACCACTGACCTACTCTCAACTGAGTGGGACTGAGCATGCTCAGGAGGAAGCCACCATGGTCCACTACCCTAGCAGCCAGGAACTGGTAAATGGCAAGGATTCCCACACTCCACTAGAAGAAGCAAGAAACGGCGCATTGGAGAGTCCAGAGAAACGCTGCACCAGAAACAGTGCAACTGGTAACCACAATACCTTATTTTGAAAAGCAGGCTGATCCTGTGACCTACAAGATACAGACCATCTTGGATGGGCACTAATCTCTGTCTGCTTTACTCATGTTAGTCCATGAGTGTACAGTCAGGGACAAACATCTTTATGAAGCAAGATACCACGAGGCATTCCTACAAGTGGTCTTGTGGACCAACTAATCTCAACAGTGGGTGTATAGGACACACAGATTGTACACTGCAGATTTAAGAACAAGTATATCTGGTCATACAAAAATCTCTCTACTGAGCAGGATACAATTATGAGACAAAGGCCTCTTGTAAAGAAAAGGAAGAAAAAAATATTCAGTTGCTCACTGAAAGAGACATCATGGAGTGTAAAATGGCGACAGGAGGAAGACAAAGCCCGTAGAAGAAGAAATGGCTAGGTGGTGAAGACAAAAAGCAGTTAAGGTATGGGGAGTGGTCCATATACTGGCACCAATGATCTCATCCGACAGATCTTGGAAATGAGCAGCCAGAGACATAGCAAGGTGACAAAAGTGGTGGTAAGATACATGGAAAAGATGACAATAATCAGGAGAAAGGGAATAATAGGACAGGCGAATCAACCCTTAAGGGTAATAGGGAAAATGTCATGGGACTGGGAAGGAATAAATAATCGGGAATGTGAACCATGGAATGAATCAGTGCATAGCAATGTAACAATAGAAGTAGCCCTGACT